TAAAGAGGATAGAGAGAAACACTGTTAACTGATGATATACGGAGGGGATAATAATCAATGTAATGAAAAAAGCTATATGAATGGTTGAATGTGAAGCTGATGATGTGCCCTGTAAACTTTCACTCAATCCAAAATAAAAACATATAATTTAAAAAAAAAAAAAATTCTGATCCTCACTCTCTTATTCAGCATCCCCCAACTCTCCAATCATCAATCCTCTGACACCCCATGGCTCCCCCCAGTTCGGGCTCCTTTTCTCTTCCAGGGGCTGCACAGATGTCATCTGCTGTATCCTCTTCCTGCTCTTCATTTTGGGTTACATCATGGTGGGCATTGTGGGTGAGTTTCCAGCTGCCTAGAGCTGGAGCAGTGAGTGGGGGCCAGGAACCTAAGAAGGGGCCACACACATAGCTTCTCCCCAACCCAAGTCCCTATCCTCCAGTGTTTCATGTTGTGTTTCTGCCTCCAGCCTGGGTATATGGAGACCCCCGGCAAGTCCTCTACCCCAGGAACTCTACCGGGGCCTATTGTGGGCTGGGAGAGAACAAGTAAGTATGAAGAAAGGAGGGCAGGGCAGGAGGGAGGTAAGGAGGGAAATGGACAAGGACCATCCCCATCCCCCATGCTCTAGACCATCCATGCTCTCCCATAGCCTTCTAGGTATTCCACCCTCAACCTGAACTTGACCATGACTGCCCATGTTGAGAACCCTCTATTACTAGAATTGGGATGCAGTACAGTCATAGGGAGTCCTAATGTGGTGCTGTTGGATAAGCATTGGACTGCTAACCATAAGGTTGGCAATTCAAACCCACCAGACACTCCTTGGAAACCTATATAAGGTCGATATGAGTCGGAAGTGACTCGACATCACTCAACAACAACACAGTCATGGGGAGTTCCTTGGAGGTACAAACTGTCAAGCATCAACTGTAAGGTTGAAGGTTCAAACTCACCCAGAGACAACTTGGAAGACAGGACTGGCAATGTTTCAGAAAGATCAGGAAAACCTTATGGAGCAGTTTATGGGGAAGCCATGAATCGAAATTGACATGGCTAGCAAAACTGGTTTATAGATTCATGGTTAAGAACATAGGTTTTAGTTTGGAGATTGGTGCTTGAATCCCAACAAGCCTATGTTCTGGTTGTATGGCCTTACGTAAGTTACTTAACCTCTCTGAGCTCTAATTTTCTTATCTGAAACAAAAGGATACTTCCAAAAGTGATGCTGGCAGTTTCAGCATACAATAACCATTCTATTCAGTAAGTAAGAAAACGTCTTCAGATTTACATAACACTGTATTGCAGACAGGCAGTGTACTTTGTACACACTAACTCATTTTAACTGGATGAGGGTAGTTTCTATGATATATGATGGAACCTTGGAGAGGTCATGGTCATACAGCAGGTGAGTGGCAAATTGGTTCCAGAGTTCATAGAGGTTACAATTCTCAATTATTCTGGGAAATCTTGGTATCTTCCTGCTGAACTCAGCTTCCTGAGGCCAGGATGGGTGTACTATTTCTGAGCTATGCTGGGCCCGCTGTACCTGACCTGGCTCTGATACACCACCCCCCTCCCACAGAGATAAACCGTACCTACTGTACTTCAACATCTTCAGCTGCATCCTGGCCACCAATGTCATCTCAACTGCCACAAATGGGCTGCAGTGCCCCACTCCTCAGGTCAGAGCCTGGGTCCCACCTCTACCCTGCATCTCCCCCAGGGTCTTGGATAGCAGCCTCTTAGCAGGTTCTCTGCCCCCCAGGTGTGTGTGTCTTCCTGCCCAAAGTCTCCATGGACTGTGGAATTTAATTCCTTCTCCCAAACAGTCGGGGAGGTCTTCTATGCTGCAAATAGGAGCTTTTGTCGGCCAGGGGTGCCCGGGGATATGGTAAGTGCTGCCCCAATATCACTGAGAAGGGTCATCAGGACAGGGGCAGGAGTGGAGGTTGGAGCAGGCTGAGTCAGAGGAGGGGAAACTCATTTTTCCTTCTGATGCCCAACATCCTTTACCTTTTATCCTGCTCTGTGTCTGTGTGTCCCTTGCTCCACTTCCCCCTCAGCCAGTACTTCAAAGCGTGCAGCAAGAGCTCTGCCCCAGTTTCCTCCTCCCCTCCAGTCCAGGTGAGAAGCACAAATTCCTTTCTGGGGCATCATCTAGTCCAATATACCAGACCCAAGGAGATTGAAGTCACACAGGTCATGGGTGGCTTCCTGGAGGAGGAGGGGAATGGACAGCAGTGATGTGTGCTGTCTCTGAAGTGGGGAGAACATTCAGAGAGGGCGACAGCAGGAGCAAAGGAATGGAAGTGAGAAGAGCTGGCTAGGCCTTGAAGCCTGGCCAGGGAGTGTGGACACTGTCTCCTAGAGGTGTCCAAGCAGCAGAGGGACTAGAGTCTAGGAGTGAGAGAACAACCGTGTTGTAGCATTGTTCTCCTGCATTCAAGAGAAGATTCAGTTGAAGATTGGCTCCCCTTTTGGGGGCAGGGACTCTAAGAGTCCAGGTCAAGGGGATGAAGGTCTGAATCTACTCAGCACAACGGCAGGGGCTGGGAGATGTGGATGTGGGGAGGAGTGTGGAGTGGGCTCTGCAGTGCAGGAGTTTCCATGTGCCTATGGCATCAAGAGCAGCCACTCCTCTATGCCCCACCACCACCACCACACCACTGGAGCAGAGCCCACCACTCCTCCCTGCCTGGGGAGCTCTGTGGGCTGGGCTGGGGGCCAGAGACTTTGAGGCTGAGCTCTGGACCCTCCCTCTCTGCAACCCTTTCTCTGTAGCTCTAGGGCGCTGTTTTCCATGGTCCAACAGTACCCCGCCTGAACTCCCAGGAATCAACGGCAACATCTCCCAGGGCATCAGGTGGGCATCCCTGCCCTGAGCAGCTCTACCACACGCCCCTTCCCTCCCTTCCCTCCCAGGACCCCATCTGACCCTGTGTCTTCTAAATAGTGGTCTTCTCGACACACTCAATGCCCGTGATATCAGCGTTAAGATCTTTGAAGATTTTGCCCAGTCCTGGTATTGGATTCTTGTGTGAGTCATGAGAGCGTCCCCATCCTTCTGCCCTCATCCTCTATACCCTAGCCAGATGTCTGAAACAGAGATTTTAGGGGAGGAAGAGCCAGAGCTCAGAATGAGCACCAAAGCCTATGAGATTTGAAAGGGAAATGTCTAATTGAGGGAAGCTAGAGGTGTAAGGAAAGACATTTGGGGTCTCTGAAAAAGCAAAGGTTTGGTCAAGCAGAAGTGACTCTCTGTTACTTCACTCTGCCTGCAGTGCCCTCGGCATAGCTCTTGTCCTGAGCCTGCTGTTTATCCTACTTCTGCGCCTGGTGGCTGGGCCCCTGGTGCTGGTGCTGATCCTGGGCGTGCTGGCTGTGCTGGCGTATGGCATCTACCACTGCTGGGAGGAGTACCGGGTGCTGCGGGACAGAGGTGCCTCCATCAGCCAGCTGGGCTTCACCACCAACCTCAGCGCCTACCGCAGTGTGCAGGAAACCTGGCTAGCTGCCCGTGAGTGCTGGCTACTACCTAAAGGCTGCCCTGGGCCACACCAGGCCTGGACCCTAACCCGGCCCCGCTGCCCCTGTGACCCACAGTGATCGTGCTGGCTGTGCTAGAAGGTGTCCTGCTGCTGCTGCTCATATTTCTGCGGCAACGAATTCGCATCGCCATCGCTCTCCTGAAGGAAGCCAGCAAGTAAGGGCTCGTCCGAGGGGAGCTAGTGAGGTGGTAGGGAACCTGGAAGAGAAGGGCAGAGCAGCGCAGAGGTTAACACTGCTATATGACTTAGCCTCTCTGGGTCTTACTTTACCTATCTGTAATATGGGGGTTATGACAGTTCTTGCTTCATGGGGTTGGCATAAAGATACAATGAGTTAGTGTCTTCCAAGTGCCCAGGACAGTGCCTGGTCCAGAGTAAGTCCTCTGTTAGGCTAAGTAATAGCACTGGTTGTCATCGTGTGGTAGTTGTTGATGGGTAGACAGCAGGAATCCAGGCAGAGAGGAAAAGCAGCAGCTAGCTTCCACTCAGGACCTACCTATCACATCCATCAAGCGACCATACAGACTGTTTGGGGATGCACTTCCTTTCCTTTCCCAAAAGCTGCTCCAGGTGGCTCTTCTGTGTCTCCAGCCTCCTCTAAGAGTTCCCTGAGCATGATTTTATTCAATTCAGTTCATCCAGTGAGCACCTATTGGTACTCAGCCCTGTACAACATATAGGAAAGAAAGTCTCTGCTAGGAGCAACCAGCCTGGGAGGAGTGGGGTTCTTGCTGGGGGTCCAGGCTGTACTGTTAACCATGTTTATCTTCCTGCAGGGCTGTGGGACATATGATGTCTACCATGTTCTACCCATTGGTCACCTTTGTCCTCCTGCTCATCTGCATTGCCTACTGGGCCATGACAGCTCTGTATCCTTTGTCCTCCTGCCATCCTTGGGGGAGCAGTGGGGAGGGCAACACTTGCCCATTTGCCCAGACCAGTGCCTCAGTGCTATTGGGAGAAAGCACCCTACTTCTACTGTGTAGATGCAGCCCTACGACTGCAGAGTGTAAAGGGTGGGGAACAAGTTGGATTTCACCCCCTCTTCGCAGGAACATTTGGGTCACTGAGTGGTGCAAATAATTTGTACTCAACAACAAACCTAAAAGTTGGCAGTTCAAACCCACCCAGTGGGTCTGGAAGAAAGGTCTGATTAGCTGCTTCATAGAGATTACAAGCAAGAAAACCCTGCAGAACAGTTGTACTGTGTAACATACAGGGTCACTGTGAGTTGGAATCAATTTGGCGGCAAAGGTTTTGGGGCTTTGGGGTCTGCAGGGAATAACATGCACAAGCACCTGGTGGCCCTAGTAAGGGGTCCCTAAGGAGAGGGTCGGTGGCCACCCCAAGTGACCATATTTTCCTTGACTTCCCTCTGGGTACCTGGCCACGTCAGGACAACCCCAGTATGTCCTGTGGGCTCCCAATGCAAGCTTGTCCGGCTGTGAGAAAGTGTCAATGAATGAATCCTGTGACCCACTGGTGAGAGGAAGTGGTCTGGGCATGGAGGGAGCACCAACAGGGATGAGGAAACCTTAGGGGGCTGTCTTTGTTATCTACTGCTGCTGGGACAGAAATATCACACATTTAACAAACACATTTATTTCCTCACAGTTTAGGAGGCTAGCAATCCAAATTCAGGGCCACGGTTCAAGGGGAAGGCTTTTTCTTTCTGTCTGCTCTGGGAGGAGGTCCTTGTCTTTCTCAGCTTGTGTTTCTCTGTCCCTTCGTGATCTCCATATGGCTTGGCATCGATCTTCCCCCATCTCTGCTTGCTTAATCTGCTGACACAAAACACACTCTACACTCATATAGCCTCATTAACATAACAAAGAGTTGTTGTTGTTGTTGTTATGTGCTGTGGAGTCGGTTCCAACTCATAGTGACCCTACACAGGGTTTCCGAGGCTGTAAATCTTTCCGGGAGCAGAACGCCTCATCTTTCTCCCGCGGAACCGCTGGTAGTTTTGAACTGCTGACCTTGAGGCTCGCAGCCCAATTTGTAACCAGTACGCTACCAGAGCTCTTTAAGACTTAATTAGGTGTCCTGTATTAGATTTAGTAAGCATACTCCCCACACCCTGATGGATCCCTAGAACCACTCCAGACCCATCTTCCCCGTGGCCCAGTGAACCACACCACCATCCTCAGCTCCATGTTAGGCCCCACTGAGCTCCCCAGCCCTCCCTTGAACCTAGAGGAGCCCCTCACTCTTGTTCCAGCCCCTTAGCTCCATCTCCCCTTCTGCTTCCAGGGACGTGGCTCGGGGCTATGAGAACGTACCCATTCCCTGTGTCAATGGTGTGGATGGAGAGCCCTGCCCTGAGGACTATAAGTACATCTCCGAGAACTGCGAGACCTCCACCATGAACATTGACCGCAACATCACCCACCTACAGGTGAGTGGGCCGCCACGGGCCCTCCTAAGGGGACACCTGGAGCTGCCATGTGCACTTGGGCAAGTTTGGGCCAACCAGGACACTGACCAGGGGTGGGGACTGAAAGACAGCCTGGTGTGGAACTGTGTCCACTTGGAGGAAGGGCTCCTTTATGTAGGCAGCCCTGGGGACACACCATCCGTAATATCTTGCTTTCCTCTCACCCTGGTACCTTAACTACCTGTATCCTAATACATGGACCCCAGAGATGCTAGTGACTGGGTCAGAGAGCATCTGAGGGCTTGAACTGACTCTCTCCTCCCTGCCCAGCACTGCACGTGTGTGGACGACTGCTCCAGCTCCAACTGCCTGTGCGGCCAGCTCAGCATCCGGTGTTGGTATGACAAGGTATGCCGCTCAGTCTGATCACTGAATCCTCTCCTCCAGAGACACAGCCCCTGACAATGCTCACACCTCCTGCCCTGAGGAGGAAGTGGCTGAGAGGGCGGGGCAGCACCTGGGGATTTCCCAGGATACTGACTGGGTAGAGGTGACTAGTGCCCAGGTATATGCAAATTGAGGGTCATAGCTGCACACTGTGTGTTCTTGGTCTCAAGTGCTGCATGAGCTCCCCAACTCCTTCCCTATCTGGGCTAGGGTCAACAGTGGATCTTTCTGTATGGAGTGTTGGGGTCCTGGGCATAGAGGTGGTGACCACACAGACCTTTGTCCTGTCTCTCTGGACCCCAGGATGGGCGGCTGCTGCAGGAGTTTAACAAGATTGAGCCCCCACTGATTTTTGAGTGTAACCAGGCGTGCTCCTGCTGGAGGAACTGCAAAAACCGGGTGGTCCAAAGTGGCATCAAGTAAGGTCCTGCCCTGCAGCCCACCCACACCTGCCTCACCCCCTTTGTCAGAAGTGTGTGGTGGTCCCTTCCCCACCCTTAGCATTTTCCAGGCCCTTTACCCAACACACCCTCCCTCCTGCCCCTAGGGTGAGACTGCAGCTCTACCGGACAGCCAAGATGGGCTGGGGGGTCCGTGCCCTGCAGACCATCCCCCAGGGAACCTTCATCTGCGAGTGAGTCTGTTGGGGTACCTAAGGTTGAGGGGTGGAGCCCACCTCTCACTGCCCGCCCCATGTCCAGTCTGCCCAGACCCTGGAGCTTTCTGTCACCATGCCTGTGTCTTCCTCCTCCTTCACTGCCACGATCTCTCAGATCTCTGAGTGGGAAAGGCACTTGTTTGGGAGAGAAGCAGCCCTGGATTTGAGCCGTATTTGTCTTGTGTGAAATGGAGATAAGCAACTGCCTTTCAGTGGCCTTGTCCCTCTCCATCAATTCCTTCTCTGCCCAGCCTCTGTAATTACTCCCTCTCCCCTGCTTCTTCCCCATAGTCTTCAAACTTACTTAGGTCTCCCTTTACCTAACCCTACTTGCCTAATCAGGAGTGCCAAGCAGTTCAAGTGAGCCATTGAGAATTTATATGGAGCACAGTTCCACTCTGATACATGTGGTGGTAGCGGTGTCCAGATTTTCTCCTTCATGCCCTCTTAGGTTCTCGATCAAGTGCCTCCTTGTCCCCACCATCCACTCACTGCTCATCCCTGTCAAACTGCACCTTTGTCAAACTACACCTTCACTCTCCGTGAGTGCTGCCTCTCAGCAGTCCTCATTCTCCTAACATCTTCCCCACCCCCTTAGACCCCTTGCCCTGAAAGGCTCCTCTTCCTCCCTTTGCTGTTCCCTTGTGCTGTTCTCCAACTCCTTCCCCCAAGTTCCTCCTGGCTCTGGTTGCTCCAGCTCTCCATGAAGCCCTGACCCCCTTCTGTCCTTTAGCCCTGCAATGCCCACCACCTGCTGGCTGATCTGAGTACACAAACCTCCTTGTGTCCAAATTCAAGCAAATTTCCCCACCCTACTCCACCTGCCCATAAATGCTGACCACAACCCGTCTTCTTTCACTGGAACCTTTCTCCCTGTCCCTTTCCTGTTACTACCTTAGCTTCTCTAGGTCATCCCGGGCCCATCTGCCCGTCCTGTCTGTTGCGTCAGCTGTTCGGTGGGGAACTGGATTGTTGTGTTCTCTTATCCCCTCACATGTCTTCCCATGCTCTTCCCTGAGTCCCCCTTCAAGGGACTACCCACCTCCCTCCCAGGTGATGTTCAGCGTCTTGTTTATGTCCCCACACCAGTCTTTGAGACTCAGATAGTAACTAGACCAGTTGACAAGTAGTAGAAGGAGGTTCCATGGGATTGTGAGGAGAGATGGGGCCTAGAGCAGTCTACCAAAAGCTCTGCTCATCTTTAGAACCATCACTTCCTGCCCAACAGGTATGTTGGGGAGCTGATCTCCGATGCTGAAGCTGATGTGAGAGAGGATGATTCTTATCTCTTCGACTTAGACAACAAGGTGGGCAGGAAACCTCTCTGCCCCATTCCATCCCAGTGGCTGGACTACTGGGGTCCCCAGGGAAGTTAGCGGATGGAAACTGGGAAGGAGGGGCCGGGTGGTCACTGGTAGTTGGTCAGGCAAACAGGGTAGGGGAGATGCGAAGAGTGACGTCCCTACCTTCAGGATGGAGAGGTGTACTGCATTGATGCCCGTTACTATGGCAACATCAGCCGATTCATCAATCATCTGTGTGACCCCAACATCATCCCTGTCCGCGTTTTCATGCTGCACCAAGACTTGCGGTTTCCACGCATCGCCTTCTTCAGTTCCCGAGACATCCGGACTGGGGAGGAGCTAGGGT